CTGTGCCAAAGAGGAAAGACAAGAACTCTCCTCATCTACTCCAGAGTGCAGGACATGGAATAACAGACTTAAGTTTAAAAAAAAATTTTAGACCAGACACCGGGAAGAATTTCCCGACTGTCAGAACAGTATGACAATAGAACCTATTACCTGGGAAAGTTGTAGGCTCTCCCTCACTGGAGACATTCAAAAAGTGGTTGGACAGTCATCTGAATGGGATGGTGTAACTTAGTGTCTTGCAATAGCAGAGGGTTGGGCTCAATGGCCTTCTGGCTCCTTCCAACTTTACTATTCTTTGATTCTATTATTTTTCTCCCACTTCCATAATACTGTTACCTGAAGTCATCCCTGATGGGAAATTCGGGACAAATTAAAGGAAGCACTTATTCATACAAGGCATAGTTAAACTATAGAATTCACTGCCACAGGAAGTAGTGATGGCCACCAATCTGAATGGCTTTAAAAATGATTGAACAATCTCCAGGAGGAGAGGGTTATCAGTGGCTCTTAGTGCCATCTCTGGTACCTGAGGGAGTATGCCTGTGTATACCAGTGCCCATCCTGCTTGCTACCCTACCTAAGGGATCTTGTGGGCAGCTGGTTTGCTGCCTTATGAACAAGTGTTGGACCAGATTGACCATTGGTCTGATCCACCATAGCTTTCCTTATGTTCTTATGAATTGCAGTCACCTTATTGGGTCCTACTCAATGGTAGTTTTGGACTAATGAAAAGTTGTTATAATTGTGCCAAGCAGAGCCTTAAATTTTCATCAATTCCTCTCCCCTCTCCCATACTCCAGCAATCTCTGAGTTACAGCCCATTCTGCTCCAGAGGATGAGCAGCTTTGGGAGGCACCTAGGTCTGTAGTGGGTGGGGAAATCTGATGAAAACTGAGTGCCTTGCCTTACATAAGCTGATATGGGCGGGGGGGGGGGCATGTTGCTATTGCACAACCATTCCTGGATACAGCCCATAGCAATCAGATTGCCAGAGCCCTCCCTAAACATGGTTTGCCTTTCAGAGGTAGGAATAACACCACCAGCTTTGCATATAGACAGCACATTCCAAGTGTCAGTCAGAGCACTTTGGGTAAATGACTTCAATAACCTTCCCAAGCATCTTGCAAAAGAGACGGATATTGCTAAGCCCTGCTGTGGCTGGTGGAAAGCTAAAGTCCGCTATAGAGTCACTTTGCCCGTCAGGGTTGACCAAGGATCTCCCATCTCAAGCTGCATGCTCTGTCAGTTCTCACACACAACCAGTGCATCGTGGAAGTCTGTTGCTAGCAGATGATTTGCAAAGCTGCGTGTTATATCAGGGAAAAAACCAAGCTGTTTCAATGCCTGCCCTTCCTAAAACTGGGGTGAGCAATGGGGACAAGTGGAGTGAGGAAAAAAAAAGGATTCTAGCACCATCTGGTGGCTGCAACTCAAAGCAAGGCAAGTGATGCATTTTTCCCTGCTGGTTAGCAACCCAGCTTCAAATCCTTGTCCATCTCTGGAGGAAGAGGTCCCTGTCATCCTTGTGCAATGCAGCTCTTGCATTGCTTTGCCACATACAAACCCAGCCCCTGTTCCCTCTACTGCCCCTCTGAGTGACTATTTTTTCTGATGAGCTGCTTTGAGAAGTGAGTGCTGGGAGCCTGGACAGAACCTAAGCCTCTAGTTCCTAAAGTGAAGAATGTCAGGCCAAGAAATCTAGCTCTCTGAGAAGCTCCCCAAAGCAACACCCCTTTTCCCCAACCCCTGATCATTTCATTATAATTTCCCTCTATTCTAAAAGTTTTAAAAATTTCTCCTAAGGCTTATTTGCTGCAGTAAGGGCTTTGAGCTAAAATAAACTGTTAGTTTTTTGGCTCCACTCCTTTTGGCTTCAGCCCCAGCCATCACTGGACTGTAGCCCCTGAGAGTTTATCTGGAACAGAATTTGACTTTGGGCCAAAAGTGGTTCTGCATCACTGCCCTAAAGTCATCTGTAAGCACGTTCGATTGACACTCTGCATTTATTTATTTATTTTAAAAAACAGGCTGCTGAATAACCTGACAGGGCTCACGGTGTAGAGCAATAACATACAAGACAAAATATTACATTTCCTAGATATTAAAAAAACAACTGCTAGTAGTGCAAGAAATCGTAAGACAGCTCATTAAAATCAGATTTCAAAATGTCTCTGAAAAAGGAGTCTTTGCCTGGTGCCAAAATGAAAGTAGAGATGGCGCCTGGCAAACTTCTCTAGGAAGCCCATTTCAAAGGTGGAGGGCAGCCACTGAGATGGCCCTTCTTCTATTTGCTACCCCTCTCACTTCCTTTAGGGATGGCTCTTTCAGAAGGACCCTGTGCCCAGATCTCAATGGGCAGGTAGGTAAATGGGAAAAGATGGTCCTTCAAGTAACCCGGTCTCAAGCCATTTAGGGGGCGATTCGTTAAAACCAGCACTTTAAGTTGGGCCTGGGTTTCAACTAGCAATGAGTGTAGGTGTTATATGGGCTTGCAAACTGGTATCACCAGATGCGCAGCCCTACTTTGGACCAGCTGAAGTCTCCAAACCACCTTCAAAGGCAGCCCTGCGTAAAGCACATTGCTTTTTAATCTCCAGATTGGCAACAAGAGGCAGTGTGGTATGGAGCCATTTAAAAGCATGAAACTATGACTCAGGCAATCTGGGTTCTAGTCCCCAACTCAGCCATGGAGTCAACTGGGTGACTTAGAGCTGGTCACAGACTTGTAGCCCAACCTACCTCAAAGGGTTGTTGTTGTGGGGATAAGATAGAGAGCAGGAAGAGGAGAATGATGTAAATGCCTTGAGTTTGTCATAAGAAAAAAGTGGGATATAAATCTAATAAACAAGCAAGCAAACTATGGGAGGGTTGGAGGAGCAAAAAAGGTAACCATTCCGAGGGGCACATGGGCCCTGGTACTTTCAGCCACTAAGTGCTATTGTCCTATATCAATATTTGCTGGAAGAAAATAGAAAAGCTACAGTTATTATAATTTAGTATTTTTATGTTTATAACCTGTCTTTTTATTCTTGTTAGGAACACAAGGCAGTTTATATCTCTCCATTTTATCTTCACCACAAGCCTGTGAGGAAGAGTAGGCTCAAGGTCAGCAACCAACCCAAAGTCACCCAGTGAGCTTCATGCTCCAGTGAGGACAAGAACCTCGATCTCCCACGTCCTCCCAGTCTAACTACTCCACCGTACTGACTCTGACAGCTTCGACTTGTGTGTGCGGCGGTAGGGGATGGGGAGAGCACTATTTCTTTAAAGCGGGGGACTGCTAGATTACAGTGAACAGCAACTCCTATCAGACTTGGTCAGCTTAGCCAGTGGTGAGGGATGATGAAAGCTGCAACCCAACAAATATCTGGACAGCTACACATTAACTCTTCAAGTACTTGAAAGTTTGCCACACAGAAGAGGGCCAGAATCTTCTCTCGATCATGCCAGAGCACAGGACACAGAATATTCAAATGTTGAATATTTTTATTCAAATGTTATTTTAATTGTTAATATTATTTATTCATTTTATTCTTTGGCCAGGGCGACTTAATTTATATTGTTAATTTATATTGTTTTATTGAATTCTATTTATTTATGGTTTGTGAGCCGCCCCGAGGCTCCGGCGAATGGGGCGGCATAGAAGTCCCCTAAATAAAAAATAATAAATAAATATTGGGTTCAGGTTACAGGAAGCCTGATAATGGCTGGACATCAGGAAAAACAATCTATTAGAGCAGCAAAGCAAAGGAACCAATGACCTGCGGAGGTCATGGACTCTCCCACACTGAAGGCAATCAAGATGCAGCTGAGAGGGATGCTTTAACATGGAGTCCTGCATTGAAAAGGGCGCTGCACCTTGATGGCCTATTGGACCCTTGTACTCTTCTATCTTTTTATGATTCTTATGGCTGTCGTGGATTCTCGAATTCATAGCATAAGGGTCTCATGGATTAAAATTTCTACCCCTGTATAATTGCAGGTGTGTCTCTCTCTCACACATGCATTATCATCATTATGATTATAATTATACACATATCACACAACTGTTGAAAGCTTATATAAAGGTACTCTGGCCTTGGCATGCTGTGAGCTTTAGGTTCTTTTTTTGTCCAAATTTCCATAGGATTTCATCATAAGGTTCTGAACAGTTTATCCAGATAAACAAGATAGGCAAGTAACTGCAGATAATCAACCACTGAGGCCCAATTAAAGGATAATGGATTAATTACCAGTTTCTAAATGTTTTCAGGAGCCACAAGAAATTTTTACATTTTATTTTTTGGCAGTGCTAGGCAAGGATCACGGATGCAAATAGGTAACAAAATACAGAAACCAAGATGCCCTCCCTTGATTTACTTGGCACTTTCATTTAAGCAGGCTTTTGGCATGTAAGGTGGTCCACTTTTTATTCTTTTATTGATGTGTTTTAATGTAGTTTTAGCTTGTTCTAAAGTAAAATAAAAAGATTTTCTTTGAAATCCCTGGTTTTATTATCCTTATCCACCTTGAGCACCATTTCCCTTAGCGGAAAAGCAGACTCTAAAAAGTCTAAAATACAATAAACCGGCGCCCTTCAACTCCCATCATTCCTAGACAGTATGGCCAATGATCAGGGATTATGGTGGTTGTAGTTCAGCATATCTGTGAAGCACCAGGCTGTGGAAAGGGCAGCGAGGTAGCGATTGGCTGTCTAGAGAACAGTCCTTCCCTCTCCTTTTTTGGCCTGCTTTTGCTTTGGGATGTACGTCCACCGGGGGCAGAAGGCGACCCTCCGTCCTCGCGGAGTTCCCGCGCCGAACCATTGGCTGCAGCCCGCGATTCCCAAGCCTTTCGTCACCGCTCGAAAGCCGCGCCTGCACCGGCCCTTCCGTAGACACGCCCCTCAACGGCCGCGCGCTTTTCCTCCCGGCGCGAGGAAAGGGGAGGAGGCTTCCCTCGTCCTCCCTTTAGGCCAATTGGGAGGGTGCCCGTGGGGAGTCCTGTCGTGTCGCGCTGTGATGACGGCACCACTCGCCTTTCCCGGAAGCGGAAGGTGGTTGCGATGGGGAAGGCGTTGGCGCTGTTGGGGCGACAAGTCCGGGGCTCGGGCCCGTGATTGTGGGGCGGGGATGGCAGGCACCCGGGGCGGATCCACCTCCTTTCAGACTGCTGGCGCCAGTGAGCGCGCCTTGGCAGAGCTGTTGCTGGAGTTCTCGAGGGCGCAGTACCGGGCCAGGGACGGTGGCGGCGGCGGCGGCGGTGGCGGTGGAGGGACCGGTAGCAACGCCAAGGTGAGTCTGAGGCACGGTCTGAGTTGGAGGAGACTTATTCTCCCTTGATCAGCTGTAGCCTTATGTTCTCACTGCCTCCACCAATCCCCAAAAAATAATTCCTTAAGGCTGCTCCTCTTTCCTGGCAAGACTCTTTGATCGGTTGTATCAACAGGTGAAGAAACTCTTCTTGTGAAGATGCACTTTTAATAATGGTCAAGACTGTGAGAAAGAGGGAGGCAACTGTAGCCTTCCCTTGTGTCTGGACCCCGAAGTGTCAAGCAGCAATTCCTTTGCATTGATACTTTATGTCAACCTAGGGTGCTTCAGATCTGTTGGACTGCAACTCTCAGCTACTTGAGAAATGCTGGGAGCTGTAGTCCAACATATATAGGAGGCACCACATTTGAGAAGGGTATTGTAAGCTTCTGTAGGATAGAGCCAACTTCACCTGTTTTCATTGTTGGGAGTCATTTTTGGCTAAAAAGAACGGATAAATAATACAACTTCGCCTATGCCTGAATTCTTGGTCTAAAAATCCTAATTGCATTATCTGCAGGCTTGCAACTAATGTTAATGTGTGTTATAACCGCTGCTATGTCAGAAGCCTATGGGATAGATGAGGCTGCTGGAGTATCTCATTTTTTGAATTTTGATTTGGCAAAATTTTCTTTGGTCCTAATTATTAGTCTCTATGCTTCCTCCATTTTTTTGTTTATATTTCTTTTAAAACCAAGGCAGTGTTGTTCCTCAGTTCATTGTTTGCACATTGCACCAGATCTTTTGTTAGAATTACAGTGCACATAACTAATAACGGGTCTGTAATAACTTTCTTTCTTGTGTAGGTAGAACGTATTGAAAAATGCTGCCTTGAGTTGTTCAGCAGGGACTATTGCTACAGCCTGATCCAAAATGTGAATGGTGAAATCTGCAGCCACTACCCCAGGCTGATTGTCTTCTTAGAATATGAGAGTACTGATAGAGAGAGAAATACGTAAGTAATGACTTCATTTTAGAGGATCATCTCTGTTCTGAATTAAAGTTGTGTGACCTGTAAAGTGCACAAGTGTTTTTTTCCCCAAGGGATGTCTTCACCAAGTGATTGTTCATTTGTTTTATTTACTGGCTATAAAATCGAAGGTGTTTACATAAGGGGGACTGGTGTCAAGTGCTACCAGTATGTTTTCTCATCACCAAGAGTCTTCTGTATGGTTTTAGATTCCATTATGTACACAAACATTCTCCTCCACCAATCTTCACAAGGGTTTATCTTTAGTAAAATTGCATGCATAATGCTGAAATCTTTTCTGCCTAGCTTTCAATAGTAGTAGTTTTTCCTATGATCCACAGAAACAGCTTGATTAGGGGAATAAGTGGTTTGATATTGGATCCATGTGGGATTCTGTACCATGTAGTATGGGCAAATGACTTGCTTCAAATAGCAGCAGGCAGAGGGAATAAATGAAAACAAGAATGAATCTCTGCATGGTGTAATTAAATTTTTCTGAAGTGTTGTGAGCACCATTTGGCCTCCACTTTGGACAATGAAATGTCCTGGGCCAGATCTGTAAACATGGATGAGCCATGTCACATGTGACTAATTTCCTATGCTGTTTTGACTTCCCTATAGAAAACCATGTATACCTTGCACATAACCTCATGCGTGGTAAACAGATGTTTTCATTGTATACATGTTCACTGGTATTTCCTAATCTATGTGTAACACATCTAGTTACTACAGAATCTACTTGTGAAGAATTAAATCACTCATGCAAATAAATGACTCATTTCAATATGAGTTGAAATGTTTGCTTGACTTGCTGCTCAAGCATACCACTTGTGTTCTGTTTTTGAAAGAGAATACATAAAAGCTCTTTACAATAGCTTCCTTTCCTTGGCATTTGGAAAAGATACTTGGGCTGCAATTCTATTTGCTTTTATTGTGAAGCAAATTCCACTGAATATAATGATGCTTACTTCCACGTAATGGGGGACAGGGTTGCAGTTTTAATTGCAAGAGATGACTGGGAAAGTGGCTATTTACACATTTGAATTAGATTCCATGTATGCTTATGTCACAAGTCTTGAAGGGCCTGCTGCTTATCTATGACAGTAACAGCTGCGTAGAAAATCAATCATGTGAGGTATTTTCAGGGTTGGATGGTAAAGAAAGGAGTTGGCCATGTTCTTCCTGATGACGCTGCTGTACTTGGAATCTCTTAAGGGATACTTCATGCATTACTATATTTCAATAAAGAAGTCATTTTTTCAAAGGGATTTTGTGATTTGTAAAGTGTTCCTGATGACAAATGTTGATTAACATGCCTCTGTGGACTCACACAAAACCCCATATTTCTACTGATGCCAAGAAAGTTGGATTGCTGTTAGCTCCCAGTATTAGCAGGAGAAATGGGCAGGAAAACTGGAGTGCTGTGAGTGTGAGGACAAGCTCTTCTGTGCTCAGCTTCCTCAAGAGGAAGGCAGGAGCAATGTAGCTCATCCTCTCCTGCCCTTCCTGTCAAGAGCACTGAGCTTGGTCCTTCAGTTTGCCATTGCTGCACATGTGGAATTACAAAAGAAACATCCCTCTCTCTGGTTGGCAAGCTCCTTGCTGAATGGAGGATGGGACAGGTGCTTCTCTTTGTCCTTGCTGCACATGCAGCAATGGGAAGCAGAGGCAACCTCTGGCTCATTTACCTCACTGGCCCTGCATGGGCACTGCACCAAACAAGGTGGGGACACTGGGCTCAGCCTCCTCCTAGGACATTCCAGCTCAGCATGGCTTGTTCCCTGCCCCACAAGTGCAGCTGGCAGAAGAAGCAGGCATGCTCGGCTGGGTCTCTGCACAAGCCCAGCTGCTTGTGCCTAGCCACTTGCAGTTCCTGCCTTCGGTTGACAGGTGGGAGCACAGGATGAGTTTCGTTCTACTCGCTTGCTGCACCAGCTGCTCAGTGGCCTGGCAGAGAGTGAGGGATGTGTGAACCTCCATCTGCTCCCCTGCTCAAGCCCTGAACGTGGCTAGGGGAGACAGCAGTCTGCAGACACCGGCAGCACCACTGGACCCCAGTCCTCAATTGCAAGCAGGGCTGGTTGGGGGGCATGGCACAGATGACCGCTGCATTTTTGGCTGTTGCCATCGGTGCTCAACTGGTGCTGCTGTCCAGAGTGGCTTTGTAGTTATTTGGCTTGAATGTGGCTCTGCTTAACCTTAGCATGTTGTCCTGATTTGTATGGCATGTGACGCCACAGAGGGTTTAGTAAGGCTTAGTACTAGCTATGGCTTCTTGGGGTGGTTTTATAGCCCCCTCATGGGAAGTGGGCCAGGTTCAGGCCACATGCCAAACTTAGCGTTATCATCTCCATTTATAATTCTTTGTAGTGGGCCTTCATTGCACCCACATCGTAAAATGGAGATTATACATTGAGATTATAGGGACAAGCCATCCTATTTGTTGGGATGTTGGTGAAAGCTATTTGCCCAGGTAACCCACTGAATTCATAACTAAGCACGGAACCCAATTTTTCTACTTCAGTACTCTGCTCACAATATTTTCATTCATTTATTCATTAAAGTTACACATTATCTCCTGCAGCAAAAACAGTCTCCAAGCAGCTTATAGATGAAAGGATTTAGACATGCATAATCAATATACCAGTGAGGACAAAGTCAGTTTAAACCATCACCTGAATAATGCAATTATACAGATACAAATAAACACAGTAAAACCTAATCTATCAGCAACATCCGTAATATACAGAGTCAGCATCGAAGTATTATTCCACTCCTGACACCCAAGATGGAACATCAGAAAAGGAATCCAAACAGTCAGGCTAGAACTAATGTCCAAATGCCTGGGAAAGTAAATGCATTCTTGCCAGGTGCTGAAAATATCACAGTGTAAGTCGCAGGTGAATGTACTTAGGGGAGAGAATTCCCTAAACCTCACTGATCTGGGGGTGCAGACAAGCATCTTTTGCTTTGCTTTACTGTCATTTTCCAGTAGTCCTTTTGCTTGGCGTGCGTGTTCGGGCTGAATGACATTTGCATGGCTTTCTTCCTTTTTCTGAATAATGCTTTTGCAGACTTCAGTCATGTGCAACAGTGCTTCCTGTGTATACCCTCCTTAACAACAAGGTGTTTCCCATGTATTGTGTGAATGCTTTCTGTGCCTTTACTTCCCCTTTCTGTTCCTCTGTTGTTCGTTTCACTTGAGTTTCCTAAATATTTTAGAAATGGTCACAATTTGGTTTAAGCTGGGGACTTAGGCACAGTGTCTGGGCTCACAGTGACTGGGTTTATTTATTATATTTATATCCCAACTTTTTCCTTTCAAGGAACTCAAGGAGGCTTGCGTAACTCTCATCCTCTTCTCAAGCTTATCCTCGCAACAACAACCCTGTGAGGTAGGTTGGGCTGAGAGTCTGTGACTGGCCCAAAGGCAGCCAGTGAGCTCCGTGGCTGAGTGGGGACTAGAATCCAGTTCGTTTGACTTCCACTCCCACCCTCTTAACCACTACACTACACTGGTTCTCAAAAAATACCAGTGGTTTGCTATCCACAATGGATTGTTGTATTGTGTAAATGCAGATGGATTCCCCTAGGGATATTTAAAGAAAATTAATAAGCACTCCTTTCTTCCAAAACGGTCTGTATCTACTGCTCTCTTTAAACAGACAAAAATTCATATGGCTTACACAGAGTAAATCCCCAAAGAGAAATCTCCAGGGTTGTCCTGTCATCCAGTCCAGACAACCAATTTCACCATGGGTGAGGGGAATTGCTTACAGAGCTCCTCCAGAGCAGGAGTAGCCAAATAACTTTACCATTCTTGCCATGGGATTCCCAGGTGACTGTAGGGGTTGGGGACCCTGAAAGTACTCAAGCAGCACTTGGGAGCAGCTGGCTCTTCTGCACCCCCATGACATGTGAATGAAGCCGCTGGGTAAGCCAGAAGGTTGTCTGCCCCAGAAGACTGGCATGTGCGGTGTGACCAGGAAAGGAATCTGAGGACTGTACAGAAGATGCAAAAAATCTTTTTAATCATTCAGTGCCCTCGAGTTTGTAGTGAGAAACTGGAGCAACATGGGCAGGGATGAACTTTAATGCATTAAAAGCGGGGATCAAATAGAGTTGTTCATCTTGTTCAGGAGCCAGAAACTGTTGGCATTTAGACTGAGCTGAGAATCACTTGGCCACTCCAGCTACCAAATATTTTCCCAGTGATTCTTTGGTTAGTGCTGTAGGAGAGAGAAATGGAGCAAGGCAAAGTGACAGGCAAATTTAAGCTTTAACTCCAGTCTCCTATTTGAATTTCATGTATTTCTGAAAGAATTATATGCCTTAATTGGCTAGTCAAATCACCATGTCACTGTGCAAAGAAGGCATACTTCCATATGTTGTGGTTTCCTGACTACTCCTGCTTTGCCGTAATCTTAGCACTGGCACCAGATATGCAAAGCAATTTATAATTCCAAATGCCTTTTCTTTGTAGGCTGTATTTATGCACACATACCTTTTTGGAAGAAAGGAGTGCTAGTTAATTTTCATAAAATATCAGGGAGATGCCTTTGTTTCATAAAGAGTAAATATTAATAACATGGGAAATGAGCAAATTGCAACGATCAGCTAGTTAAATAGTGTACAAACAGGAGCATATATTCTCACAGCAGGTGATATATAGAATGACATCTCTTAGAACCTGGTGTGGAATCCCTCAAGCTTCTGAAGCCTTGCCAGTCCTAGACAACCATTTTCAATATAATATCTTAATCTCCCCCATGCAAATATACATGTCTGGTCACTGCACCTAAAAAAAAAGTAGGGTTGGAAAATGTGTAGAAAGGGGCAGCTAAAATAATGAAAGAACTGCAGCAACTCCCCTATGAGAAAAGGCTACAATAAACTAGGACGATTTTAGCTTAAAAAAAGGTAAGGGGAGTCATGATAGAGCTGTACAAAATTATGCATGATGTGGAAAAAGTGGGTAGGGCAAC